CCTCTTTAAGGACCCATGGAGAGATGTTGTCTGGTCCCACCGCCTTTGAGTGTCAAGTTCGCATAGCAGCTTCTTCACCTCCTCCTTGGTTATATGTACCTCATCCAGCACTTGCTGGTGTGCCCCCTGTTCTGATTTCTTGGAGTCCTACTGGTTTCCACTGTAAATACCTCTTTAAATCTTGTGTTGAGCTCCTGACATACCTCTCGGTCGTTTCTTGTGAATTCCCCATCACCCTTCCTCAGTCTGATTACCTGGTCCTTGACTGTTGTTTTCCTCCTGATGTGGCTGTACAACAGCTTCGGGTCAGTCTTTACTTTTGATGCTATGTCATTTTCATATTGTCTCTGAGCCTCCCTTCTTATCTGTGCATATTCGTTTCTGCTCTTCGGCTGATTTCTTTATTTTCCTGAGTTCTCTGTCTTCTGTACTTTTCCATTCTCTATTACACCTAGTTTTTGCCTCCCTACACCTTTGGGTGAACCAAGGACTCGTTCTGTTCTTCCCATTATTTCTGTTTCCCTTGGAACAAACTCTCCTCTGCCTCCTTGCATTTTGTTGCTACATAGTCCATCATTTCTTTGTACTGGTTTTCCTGTCAGTTCCCTCTCCCACTGAATGTCTTGAAGGAAGTTCCTCATGCCTGAGTAGTTCCCCCTTTTGTAGTTTGGTTTTTCCCAGCCTATTCCTGCTACTCTCTCCACTTGGAGCTCAACTATGTAGTCGAAGCACAGAACCACATGATCACTAGCTCCCAGGGCCTTTCATACATGATACCCTCGATGTCCGAACTGCTCAAGGTGAATACTAGGTACAGTCTTGCTGGATCATCCACATTTCTCCCTCTGGTAGTGTCTCTGACATGTTGTTGCATGAGGTTTTGCAGTACCACAGCCATCATCTTGGCTATCCGTGTTTCGGGACCCCCATGGGGCTCCAGGTTTTCCCAGTCAATCTCCTTGTGATTGAAATCACTCATAACTAGTAACTTTACTCTCCCCATGTGAGCTCTTCCGGCCATCTAGACTAGTGTGTCTGCCATTGCTATTTTGCTCTGCTCTCTTGGCCTCCTGCAGTTCTGTGGCGGTTGTACATTACTGCAATTACCACCTTATGTCTCTCAGCCTGAATTGTTCTTACTACATAGTCCTTTCGCCCATTCCACCCATCCCTTCCATTTCCTCAGTTTCCACCGGTTTTTAATAAGCAGTGCAACTCCTCCTCTGCTCCTTCTATCTTTCCTGAGGATTTGATATCTGGGTGGAAAGATTGCATCTGTTATCATCCTGGTGAGTTTCGTTTCTGTGAGTGCTATTATGCCTGGGAATGTCTCCTTGATTCTTTCATGCCACTCCTTACATTCACTTGTTATTCCATCTGCATATGTTGGGGTTGGGGAAGTGGGAGACCTTATAAGGAACTATGGGTGGTTGTTTTGAATATGGAGTTTGTAATGATGTGGGTGGGGGCATTGGATATGGCATGTGTGTTTTTGATTAGAATGTTTGGTTGCATTGGGGTTGTCTTGGTTGGGGGCCTTCTGTAGGTGGTTGTGAGGGAGGTTGTATTTGAACTTCCTTCTGAGTCTGGGTTGTCCTGTCCATCTCCATCTTCACCTCTTTTTCCTCCTCTCGCCTTTGTACACTCTCTTTCAGTTTCTGCCTTTCTTCTCATGTTCTGTCGCAGTCAAGATACACCCTACAGTACACTGACATGTCCCTTAGTCTTGGTTTATCCTGCAGGATCCTGTTTTGAGCCGATTCTGCCTTGAAAATCACTTTGACCGGCTGTTTTTTTTCATCTTGCAAACCCCCCTATTCTCAGAAAATTTGCCAGCTGCATCATGTCATCTTCTCCTATTGCTTTCATGATGCTTTCAATCGCTTTTTTCTCCCCTCTCCTTCTTCCTTTGTAAATTTCCCTTTCAACTTCCTGGAGCCCATGAACAAAGACTGATCTTTCCTTTTCATTCTCCCACTGCATATCCCTATGTATCCCCTGATTCGATTTAGTTGCCCCCATTCCAGCTTTCCTTTCTTCACTCTCTTCACTATCTGTTGTCCCTGGGCCCAGTGGTCTGTCATTTTCCCTTCTCAGCTTTCTCTGGGCACTGCTGTGGTCTGTTAGGGCCACTACGTGTAGGTTAGGTCTTTCATTTTCTACAGTCCCTTCGATTGTTCCTGATGTGATCCTCTTTTTTACTCGGGCTCCACGATGGTCTGATAGGGCCTCTGCATATAGTTTTACTCCTTCGTTCCCAACAGTCCCCTTGTTTGTGACTGAAGTAGCAGATTCTGATGTCATGCCCACGTTGCTCTTTAGTTCTTTAGGCTGTTTCGTATTTTTCAGTTCGTTTTATAATCTCTGTATGTGTGTGTTTGTGTATGTGTGTGTGTGCGTGTGTGTGTGTGTGTGTGTGTGTGTGTGTGTGTGTGTGTGTGTGTGTGTGTGTGTGTGTGTGTGTGTGTGTGTGTGTGCGTGTGCGTGTGTGTGGTGTTGTGTGTGTGTGTGTGTGTGTGTGTGTGTGTGTGCGTGTGTGTCTGTGTGTGTGTATGTGTGTGTGTTGTGTGTGTATAATCAAGCCCTTTGATGCTTGTCCTGTTTGACTCAGTGTCGTAATTTACAGATTCGTTGTTGTCCACCATCAAGTGAACACTACGCCCTCTACGTACTACCACACTCTGGCGACCACAGTGAAAGCTTTCACAAACGACATGCTGACTACCCTCACGAGGAGGACGGTGAAGATGGACTCCCAGAGCCTGAGCCTACCAAGAAACAACACGATACTGCTGCTAGGGACAGTCCTGCTGGGACCCACGAACCCAAAAAGATCTCGGCGCCGGAGTCGAAATCGAACCCCAAACCCGGTGCTCCACGTCGGGTTAGGAAGCCGGGCTACGGACATAGCCACGAACTGAAGGACAAGATGGACTTGTACGCTGCCAATCCCAAGGAAGCAACTGCAGGGAGCCAGGAAGCTGGGACTACACCTCAGCCTACACCTTGGCCTCTCCTGACACCCACACCTTCCGTAGCATCGCTGCCGCCTTCTCCTACCCGCTGGACCACACCAGAAGAACGAGAGCCCACATACCCTGCAAAGGAAGAGAAACTCAATTCTAAGAAACTTCTCACCAAACCCAGAAAAGTAATGAAGGTGAGATAACTCTTCCGTTATACTTCATGATGTAATTATGGCAAATATTGTGATTTATATAATGGAATTTCAAGGAAATGTGTATCAAGAAGGTATATAACTGCAGACAACTAGACGTACATGGATATGTCTTTAATGTGTCGTAAGTGTATAAATTCTTGTCCGTTTGCCACAAACAATAATTTTTTTTTTTTTTGCACGTTCTCCTCTTACATTTTCTGTGACATTTCGACGAACCTCTATCATACCTCTGGCTTGGTTTTTCAGGTCATTAAGCTATCTGCCGATGGTGAGTTCGTCCCTCAGGAGGTTCCCGGGGTGATGCTGCCCACGGAGGACGGCAGCGAGGAAGCCTTCGTGCCCTCCGACCTGCTGGAGGACACCGAGGCCCTTCTCACGGAGGCGTCAGCGCAGCAGCCGTCTTTCCTGCCCCCTCAGCAAGCCCCTTACAACGCGCCGGTCAGTGACTCTTAAATTAACGTTCGTGTAATAATAGTAGTAGTAACGAAAGTTGGAGTAGTAAGAGTATTGTCTTCCGACTTCCTCTACTCTTAACGTGAATTATGGTTAACCTCCACTTCCCCACGGATAACCTCTCCATTCCCCAAGCTGTATATGACTAAGACCTCAGTGAAACTAATAATAATAATAATATTAATAATAATAATAATAATAATAATAATAATAATAATAATAAATAATAATAATAATAATAATAATAATAACAATAATATTTTTGGATTATTATCATTATTATTATTATTATTTGAGTAAATTACCTGCATGAGATTTGAAGGGGATTACCTGAAATATTACCTACAAGTAATTTGGGTGAGGTAAGTGGGACTTAATTAAGTCACAGCAGGTAGCCAAACTGTCACTCCTCGAAGCCCACTTCCTACCACTCACAAAAAGCTAGACCTCACATTACCAGCTACTCTGGTAATTAAAGTTGTGGACTGTATATAATTAGGCTTGCTGGGTACACAAAATATAATTAGTATTAACACTTATCATTTAATTACTGTAATTGGATCACACCCCAACGCCTGCCTTACACCTAAACACTACACTGGCCAGCTAGAGATCTAAATGCAAGGAGTAATTGTGTACTTCTCTGTGACTGATGGTCATCCCTTATCTTCCGCCATCCACACGTAATTCTTGAGGTCCTGCAAATTTCCTGTCCCAATTCTTTAGCAGGGGACATTAACACGGGTTCCTAATTACATATTCAGGCCGAGAAACCCCAATTGACCTTCGAGAACGCCCGATCACATTGCACAACTCGGTCCAGTGTTCACACATTAAATTCAATATGGCGTCTCCGTCCGCGTCACTCTCCGCCTCTTCCACACCCACCTTCACTTAAAATTTTCTCGAAGGGTCCAAATAGCATCACATTTTAATATGCAATTATTATATTATTAATTTATATGCTTTACCTTTAGGAAAATTATGTAAAAAAATCCACAATAATAATAATAATAATAATAATAAAAATAATAATAATAATAATAATAATAATAATAATAATAATAAAAGAATCTTTGTGGGTTGCGATGTGTAGTGATACAATACCAGTGTTAACACCACTAGTGTACTGGTGTTGGCGTTAACACCACTAGTGTACTGGTGTTGGTGTTAACACCACTAGTATACTGGTGTTGGTGTTAACACCACTAGTATACTGGTGTTGGTGTTAACACCACTAATATACTGGTGTTGGTGTTAACACCATAGTATACTGGTGTTGGCGTTAACACCACTAGTGTACTGGTGTTGGTGTTAACACCACTAGTATACTGGTGTTGGTGTTAACACCACTAGTATACTGGTGTTGGTGTTAACACCACTAGTATACTGGTGTTGGCGTTAACACCACTAGTGTACTGGTGTTGGTGTTAACACCACTAGTATACTGGTGTTGGTGTTAACACCACTAGTATACTGGTGTTGGTGTTAACACCACTAGTATACTGGTGTTGGCGTTAACACTACTAATGTACTGGTGTTGGAGTTAACACCACTAGTGTACTGGTGTTGGTGTTAACACCACTAGTATACTGGTGTTGGTGTTAACACCACTAGTATACTGGTGTTGGCGTTAACACCACTAGTGTACTGGTGTTGGTGTTAACACCACTAGTATACTGGTGTTGGTGTTAACACCACTAGTATACTGGTGTTGGTGTTAACACCACTAGTATACTGGTGTTGGCGTTAACACTACTAATGTACTGGTGTTGGAGTTAACACCACTAGTGTACTGGTGTTGGTGTTAACACCACTAGTATACTGGTGTTGGTGTTAACACCACTAGTATACTGGTGTTGATGTTAATACCACTAGAATACTGGTGTTGGTGTTAACACCACTAGTATACTGGTGTTGGTGTTAATACCACTAGTGTACTGGTGTTGGTGTTAACACCACTAATATACTGGTGTTGGTGTTAACACCGCTAGTGTACTGGTGTTGGTGTTAACACCACTAGTGTTCTGGTGTTGGTGTTAACACCACTAGTATACTACTGTTGGTGTTAACAGCACTAGTATACTGGTGTTGGTGATAACACCACTAGTGTACTGGTGCTGGTGTTAACACCACTAGTGTACTGGTGTTGGTGTTAACACCACTAGTGTACTGGTGTTGGTGTTAACACCAACGGTAGTATACTAGTCGTGTTGTAATAAAGTTGGTAGAATTACCGACAATATGTAAAGTAAAAGGACACAAGTGCAACTAATGTGACATTTATTGTGGCAACGTTTCGCTCTCCAGGAGCTTTATCAAGCCATTACAAACAATACATGGACACAGAGGGTATATAAAGGCTCAGAGTGAGGTGCAATACTAGTGAGGTAACATTTCGATGTTCACTAGTGGTAGTAGTAGTAGTACTAGTATTAGTGACAAAAGTAATACAATATGATAGAGCAATTAATTCGTACAAGAGTAAAAGGATATAAAAGCTATTACTTGGGTAACATAAAATAGGTTGGACAAATATAGACTGGAAAGAGGCAGCTTGTTTCAGTGTTCACTCTCTGTAATGTGCTTTGTGTAGTATAACAGGAGAGACTATGTGATGGCAGGGTTTACTGTTTTCAGGAGGATTCTTGCTAAGACTTCGGAGATGGTGAAGCTGCCGTTGTTTTGTTTAATTGTATTCGAAACAGCGATCAGTGCTGATTCGAGGCACTTGCGTCTGCGGAAATTAGTTTCTTTGATCACTAATTGGGCGTCTCTGAATTTCATGAGATGATTGGTGGAATTTCTGTGTTGTACACAGGCATTGTTCAAGTTATCGTTCCTACATGCGTAAATGTGTTCATTGAGGCGGGTGTCGAGGTTTCTTGCTGTTTCACCTACGTAAATCTTGTCACAGCCTCCACAGGGTATAATGTAAACTCCTGCATTGACTGGTTCGTGGTGCTTGGATTGTGTCCTGGTTAGATCCTTTATAGAAGTGCTAGAAGCGATGTCGACTCTGGTGTTAGCCTGTGAAAGTACTTTTGAGACGTTCAGTGCAACCTGGCTGTTGGGAAGAATTATAACTTTGTTGGGAGTGGCGTTGATGCGTTGAGAATTAATGATCTGAAGAGCTCTTTTCTTGCAGTCTTTGATGAAAAAAGAAGGAAAATGTAACTCAGTGAATGTTTGGTGAATATATGTACATTCCTCGTCAAGAAACTCAGGACTGCAAATTCGGTATGCTCTTAGGAAAAACCCGATGATGATGATGCCTCTTTTGGTCTTGGTATCTTGACTGGAATAGAAGTGTGTGAGATCATTTTTATTGATGGGTTTCCGATAAACTTGAAATCCTAGGTTGTTGTCTACTTTGTGAATGAGGACGTCGAGGAAAGGTAGCTTGTCATTGGACTCTTCTTCTAGTGTAAACTGGATCGCCGGTTCAACTGCGTTGAGCCTCGCCTGAAGATCCCGTACATCAAAACGTTTTGGAGTTATTACGAGGACATCGTCCACGTAACGTAACCAAGTGACGCTTGAAGGGATGATGTTGGCGAAGTGTTCGGACTCTAGGTGTTCCATGTATAAGTTGACTAGGACGGCACTTATGGGGGACCCCATTCCCATGCCGTAGGTTTGTTTGTAGAGCTTGTTATTGAAAGAAAAACAGTTGAAATTAACACAGAGTTCAATCAAGTCAACAAAATCTCCGGGAGGTAGAGGAAGATTAAGGTCCTGATTGACTTTACGTCGGAGAACCTCGATGGCTTTTTTGGTAGGTACTTTTGTGAAGAGGGAAGTCACATTCAAACTGCTTAGTTTCTTGTTACGGATGGAGAGGTTACGGATGCGGTTGAGAAGGTCGCCTGAGTGTTTAAGATGAGCGGGGCTGATGGTCCCCAGAAGGCAGGAAAGATGTTTGGCAAGAACTCCGGCTAGGTTGTGTGGAGCACTGCCTATTCCTGACGTGATTGGTCTGAGAGGAATATTGTGTTTATGGGTTTTGGGTAAACCATACATATGTGCTGGTTTAGGGTTGCTTGGTAACAAGTACAGAAGTTTCTTCTCTTCTATAGTGCGTTTGAGTATTTGTCTGGTTTTGTATAGAAAATCTGAGTTTCTTGACGAGGAATGTACATATATTCACCAAACATTCACTGAGTTACATTTTCCTTCTTTTTTCATCAAAGACTGCAAGAAAAGAGCTCTTCAGATCATTAATTCTCCACGCATCAACACCACTCCCAACAAAGTTATAATTCTTCCCAACAGCCAGGTTGCACTGAACGTCTCAAAAGTACTTTCACAGGCTAACACCAGAGTCGCCATCGCTTCTAGCACTTCTATAAAGGATCTAACAAGGACACAATCCAAGCACCACGAACCAGTCAATGCAGGAGTTTACACTATACCCTGTGGAGGCTGTGACGAGATTTACGTAGGTGAAACAGCAAGAAACCTCGACACCCGCCTCAATAAACACATTTACGCATGTAGGAACGATAACTTGAACAACGCCTGTGTACAACACGGAAATTCCACCAATCATCTCATGAAATTCAGAGACGCCCAATTAGTGATCAAAGAAACTAATTTCCGCAGACGCAAGTGCCTCGAATCAGCACTGATCGCTGTTTCGAATACAATTAAACAAAACAACGGCAGCTTCACCATCTCCGAAGTCTTAGCAAGAATCCTCCTGAAAACAGTAAACCCTGCCATCACATAGTCTCTCCTGTTATACTACACAAAGCACATTACAGAGAGTGTACACTGAAACAAGCTGCCTCTTTCCAGTCTATATTTGTCCAACCTATTTTTATGTTACTCAAGTAATAGCTTTTATATCCTTTTACTCTTGTACGAATTAATTGCTCTATCATATTGTATTACTTTTGTCACTACTACTAGTACTACTACTACTACCACTAGTGAACATCGAAATGTTACCTCACTAGTATTGCACCTCACTCTGAGCCTTTATATACCCTCTGTGTCCATGTATTGTTTGTAATGGCTTGATAAAGCTCCTGGAGAGCGAAACGTTGCCACAATAAATGTCACATTAGTTGCATTTGTGTCCTTTTACTTTACTAGTCGTGTTGATGTTAACACCACTAGTATACTACCGTTGGTGTTACCACTACTAGTATACTACCGTTGGTGTTAACACCAGTAGTGCACTGGTGTTGGTGTTAACACCACTAGTATACTACCGTTGGAGTTAACACCACTAGTGTACTGGTGTTGGTGTTAACACCACTAGTGTGCTGGTGTTGGTGTTAACACCACTGGTGTACTGGTGTTGGTGCTAACACCACTAGTATACTGGTGTTGGTGTTAAGACCACTAGTGTACTGGTGTTGTTAACACCACTTGTGTACTGGTGTTGGTGTTAACACCACTAGTGTTCAGGTGTTCGTGTTAACACCACTAGTGTACTGGTGTTGGGGTTAACACCACTAGTATACTAGTGTTGGTGTTAACACCACTAGTGTACTAGTGTTGGTGTTAACACTACTATATACTAGTGTTGGTGTTAACACCATTGTTATACTAGTGTTGGTGTTAACGCCATTGTTATACTAGTGTTGGTGTTAACACCACTATATACTAGTGTTGGTGTTAACACCGGTAGTATAGTAGTGTTGGTGTTAACACCGGTAGTATACTAGTATTGGTGTTAACACCACCAGTATAGTAGTGTTGGTGTTAACACCACTAGTATACTAGTGTTGGTGTTAACACCACTAATATACTAGTGTTGGTGTTAACACCACTAGTATACTAGTGTTGGTGTTAATACTACTGTTATACTAGTGTTGGTGTTAACACCACTATATACTAATGTTGGTGTTAACACCGGTAGTATACCAGTATTGGTGTTAACACCATCAGTATACTAGTGTTGGTGTTAACACCACCAGTATACTAGTGTTGGTGTTAACACCACCAGTATAGTAGTGTTGGTATTAACACCACCAGTATACTAGTGTTGGTGTTAACACCACCAGTATACTAGTGTTGGTGTTAACACCGGTAGTATAGTAGTGTTGGTGTTAGCACCACTAGTATACTAGTGTTGGTGTTAACACCACTAGTATACTAATGTTGGTGTTAACACCACTAGTATACTAATGTTGGTGTTAACACCATTAGTATACTAATGTTGGTTTTAACACCACTAATATACTAGTGTTGGTGTTAACACCACCAGTATACTAGTGTTGCTGTTAACACCGGTAGTATAGTAGTGTTGGTGTTAACACCGGCAGTATACCAGTATTGGTGTTAACACCATTAGTATACTAATGTTGGTGTTAACACCACTAATATACTAGTGTTGGTGTTAACACCACCAGTATACTAGTGTTGCTGTTAACACCGGTAGTATAGTAGTGTTGGTGTTAACACCGGCAGTATACCAGTATTGGTGTTAACACCACCAGTATGCTAGTGTTGGTGTTAACACCACTAGTATACTAGTGTTGGTGTTAACACCACCAGTATACTAGTGTTTTTGTTAACACCACCAGTATACTAGTGTTGGTGTTAACACCACCAGTATACTAGTGTTGGTGTTAACACCACCAGTATACTAGTGTTGGTGTTAACACCACTATTATACTAATGTTGATGTTAACACCAATAGTACTCACCTAATTGTACTCACCTAATTGTGGTTGCAGGGGTCGAGACTCAGCTCCTGGCCCCGCCTCTTCACTGATCGCTACTGGATCCTCTCTCTCTCTGCTTCCTGAGCTTTGTCATACCTCTTCTTAAAACTATGTATGGTTCCTGCCTCCACTACTTCACTTGCTAGGCTATTCCACTTGCTGACAACTCTATGACTGAAGAAATACTTCCTAACGTCCCTGTGACTCGTCTGAGTCTTCAGCTTCCAGTTGTGACCCCTTGTCCCTGTGTCCCCTCTCTGGAACATCCTATCTCTGTCCACCTTGTCTATACTAATGTTGGTGTTAACTCCACTAGTATACTAATGCTGGTGTTAACACCACTAGTATACTAGTGTTGGCGTTAACACCACTAGTATACTAATGTTGGTGTTAACACCACTAGTATACTAATGTTGGTGTTAACACCATTAGTATACTAATGTTGGTATTAACACCACTAATATACTAGTGTTGGTGTTAACACCACCAGTATACTAGTGTTGCTGTTAACACCGGTAATATAGTAGTGTTGGTGTTAACACCGGTAGTATACTAGTGTTGGTGTTAACACCACTGTTATACTAGTGTTGGTGTTAACACCACTATATACTAGTGTTGGAGTTAACACCGGTAGTACAGTAGTGTTGGTGTTAACACCGGTAGTATACTAGTATTGGTGTTAACACCACCAGTATATTAGTGTTGGTGTTAACACCACTTGTATACTAGTGTTGGTGTTAACACCACTAGTATACTAATGTTGGTGTTAACACCACCAGTATACTAGTGTTGGCGTGAACACCACCAGTATACTAATGTTGGTCTTAACATCACTAGTATACTACTGTTGGTGTTAACACCACTAGTATACTAGTGTTGGTGTTAACACCACTGGTATACTAGTGTTGGTGTTAACGCCACTAGTATACTAGTTTTCTTTACATAAATGTTGCAGGCTAGGAGTTGTTATCGTACCTTAGCTCACATCAGAACCCAGGCCGCCTAATATTAGGTAAACTACCCTCCCCACTCCCCCAGGATGCGACCCACAACAGCCGATTAACTCGTAGGTACCTACTTACTACTAGGTGAACAGGGATAAGAGGTGTAAGGAAACATTCCCCTCATTTCCACCCGTTCCCGCAATCGAACCATGGACACTCAGTGTGAGCTGAGTGCTCACATACCGTTGCTCACATTCCTGGTGTTAACACCACTAGTATGCTCGTGCTAGCACATGAAGACTAAGACATTATCAGTGCCAGCAACTCACAAGTCTGGAATCAAACGACTTTTCGGTTTGTTCTATATAATTATTTTCCACGACGACCCGTTAATGGCCCGGGAAACACCGAAGCGGCGCACAATTTTCACTTTTAATTTTGAAGATTTGTTGTGATTACTAGTCCAGGTATTTAATTGTCAGTGCCTTGCCTCTCAGTTGTTGAATTGTCGTTCCATGCCCTCTCAGGTCTTGCAGTGTCATTCCTTGCCCTGTTAGGTGTTGCCGTATTATTCCTTGCCCTCTCAGGTGTTGCAGTATCATTCCTTGCCCTCTCAGGTGTTGCAGTATCATTCCTTGTTCTCAGGTTTGCGTATCTCTTTTCTCTCAGGTGTTGCAGTATCATTCCTTGCCCTCTCAGGTGTTGCAGTATCATTCCTTGCCCTCTCAGGTGTTGCAGTATCATTCCTTGTTCTCTCAGGTGTTGCAGTATTACTCCTTGCCCTCACAGGTGCTTAATTGTCACTCTTGCCCTTACAGGTACAGTCGAAGGGAATGCCTTACCGCTTCGGCTGGATCGTTGATGACGAGGCTACTGCTAACTTTCAGACCAGGCAGGAGCAGGGAGACGACCAGGGTGTGGTCACTGGCTGCTACCAGGTGTGTACTCCTTGCTCACATCTCTCTTTGTGTAGGTTAAGTGTGTGTACGTGTAGGTCTGGTGTATATATGTAAATGAACGTCGAATACTGTGTTTACGTCAAGCGTATACTTGTGTGGATGTCCAGTACTGAGGAAAGTACATGATATTTTCAACACACTGTTAAAGGTGTATCATTTGTGACACACTCAGCTCTCTCGTGAAACTCCCCCACATAGCCCATTTTTTGCAAGTACGGTTTAAAAAAAAGGCCATTCATAATTGAAGAGCAGGTGTTAAAAATGCCTCTTCATGTATTATATAATTTTGGATGCACTATGTAGAGGAACTTTACAAGAGAGGTCACTGTATGTAATCGAATAAGCGTTTCATTTACATGTTTGTGTTGATACAGGTACTGGAGCCCACGGGTCTCGTGAGGACAGTGACCTACCAGGCTGATGAAGGAGGCTTCAGAGTGCTCTCACTCACGCGAGGACCTGACAAGACGCCTTGCCCTGGTTAGTTGAGACTACCATCGGCGCCAGTCACGCTCTACGTTATGCTAGGCTTTTATAGGTGATCTTCTAACAAATATACAGATGCTCTTTGTCTAGCACGGTAGGGTATTCTAGGCTGGTGTGATATGGAGGGGGGAGGGGGGTGGCGATCTCCTAGGACACTCATTTACGTAGGCTGATGACAGGAAATTAGATTGAGGTTAGACCTTGAAGAAGTTCCCAGGGAAAACTTAGGTGATGCATGACATGTGCAGGTGACACCAAAGAGGGACTACATACCTCTATAGGAAGGTCACGGTTAGGAGAGACAAAGGTGATAATCAAAGTGACATTTTTTGCCACCTTCACGTAGTCATGAGTGGTAAGATACTTAACAGAGCAGTAAACAGTTTGCCCATGAAATCTTCTCAGATGTTGTAGGGCGGCTAAAAGGACTAAGGCACACATGATGTATATAATGAGCAATAAAAGTCACAGTACCGTGACTTATATTGAAGCTTAGACGACATTTCGGTCCTTCCTGGACCATTATTAAGTTATATCCGAGTGAGAAGAAGAACAGGCAGAGATCAGAAGGCAGGCTGGAAAGAGGGAAGGGAAGAAGTTGGTAATAAAAGTAGTAGCATTAATAGTACTAATAACAGTAGAAGCAGTGATAGTGCTAGAAGTAATGGTAATGATGGCCGTAGCAGTAGTAATAGTTGTAGTATTAGTAGTAGTAGTAGTAATAGTTGTAGTATTAGTAGTAGTAGTAGTAATAGTTGTAGTATTAGTAGTAGTAGTAGTAATAGTTGTAGTATTAGTAGTAGTAGTAGTAATAGCAGTAGTAGTAGTAGTAATAGTTGTAGTATTAGTTAAATAGGTAAGTTAGTAATAGTTGTAGTATAGTAGTAGTAGTAATAGTTGTAGTATATAAAGTTAGTAGTAGTAGTAGATAGCAGTAGTAGTAGTAGTAAGTAGTATAGTAGTATAGTATGTAGTAGTAGTAGTAAATAGCAGTTAATTGTTAATGTATATAATGTTTGTTCCATGCTAGTGTTCTCCACAGTATCACACTCCTGCCCACCCCAGCACGAAGACCAGCCACACACATCCTGCAGTTCCTCTCGTTCCTCTGTGGTTCATCAGCACACCACGATGGCTCCTCAGCACACCACGGTGCTGAAGAAACACGCTGCGGAACAAAGTTTTTATATCCCGCTACTGGGACAACATCTCGCTGTGCCTGAGCTTCAAGGTACAAGCTGATGAAGCTCAAACAGAGGGAACCGTCGTCTCAGTTAAAGCTTACTCTGCAGTTTTTTTTTTTTCCTAAAATACTGGCGGGCAGTGCGTCATAGGGCTGCGCACCGAGGTGCTTGATGAACCACCGGTGAACGCGAGGGGCGAGTGTTCACTTACGTCCGGTAGACTGCTCTTCATGTGTGTGTTGAACACTGTGGTTTGTGCCTGAGTCAGTTCGAGGCAACTCACATCGCGTTCATGTTCAAACAACTGGGAGTAAATAATAATAACAATCTCAAATATAGGACTATGAAATGCATTTAGAAAAAAACTGATGACGTCCAATACTCACCTGCTAATCTCTAAACTGGCGATGAAAACTGAGCGACGTTTCCGTCCGCTCAGGACCGAAATGTCGAAAGGTTTGAGTCTCCATTTTGTGGGTTATTTGTAAATTGTTCCACTTACGGTACTGTGAGTTATTCTTTCGATCCATGCTGTAATACTCCCATATATTTGTATTATCATCATTATTTAGCCTGGGTGAGCAGTGGACCGGAGGTAAGTAGGAAGCAGGGAGACGGATGTCTGGACTCCACACCTCCCTTACCGACTCCCTTCACGGAACTGACGGATCCACCTCCACCCTAAAAGCAGACCAGCCGAACCTCTCGACGGACCACCCGACTCACAGGGACATCGCAGTAACACTAAACACCCTCAGAAAGGGTCCCAGTGACCCACTGGACTGCCATGGTGCCCTGGTCACATAGACAAGTCAGGGGCAGTGCCAAAATATATGGTATATGTACAGCGGCTAGGGCTGGAGAAAATACGGATCGACACTCCTGGCACTAGCTAAAGTAATCCAGATCTCAGATTCTTACTGTCAAAAACTCTAACTCGTTTGCTAACCTCTATAAAATAATTGGATATCAACTATGCATGTCAAATTCAGTTGCAGATACACAATAGAGTTAACAAATCGATTATGCTCTCATGCTTGACTAAGATACATCAGGTGAGGATAAGTATTAACAGTGATCACTGCCCAACATCTCGCGAAAGGAAATTTGACTCGCTATTCTTTTTGTAATAATTAACTGCGATGAATAAATAAATAAACGAAAGTTCTTAAGATTGATAGGCAGTTACTGACGAATCTGGGACCAAGTTGAAACAATGTCTGGAGTGGTGACGAGGAGAGTTGTGGTGTGTGAGTGTTGATGGGGGTGTGTGAGTGTTGATGGTGGTGAGTGTGTGTTGATGGTGGTGTGTGAGTGTTGATAGTGGTGTGTGAGTGTTGATAGTGGTGTGTGTGTGTTGATGGTGGTGTGTGTGTGTTGATAGTGGTGTGTGAGTGTTGATGGTGGTGTGTGTGTGTTGATAGTGGTGTGTGTGTGTTGATAGTGGTGTGTGAGTGTTGATAGTGGTGTGTGAGTGTTGATGGTGGTGTGTGAGTGTTGATAGTGGTGTGTGAGTGTTGATGGTGTGTGTGTGTGATATGGTGTGTGTGTTGATGTGGTGTGTGGTGTGTGTTTGATAGTGTGTGTGGTGTTGTGGTGGTGTGTGTGTTGATAGTGGTGTGTGAGTGTTGATGGTGGTGGTGTGTGTTGATAGTTGTGTGTTGATGTGTCGTGTGTGAGTGTCGTGGTGTGTGAGTGGTGTTGATGTGTGTGTGTGTTGATGGTGGTGTGTGTGTTGATGTGTGTGTGAGTGTTGAGGTGTGTGTGTGTTGATAGTGGTGTGTGAGTGTTGATGGTGGTGTGTGTGTGTTGATAGTCGGTTGGTGTGAGTGTTTGATGTGGTGTGTGGTGTGTGATGGCGTGTGTGTGTTGATGGATGGTGTGTTGGTGTGTTGATGTGTGTGTGTTGATAGTGGATGTGTGTGTTGATGGTGGTGTGTGTGTGTTGATGGGGTGTATGTGTGTTGATAGTGGTGTGTTGATAGGTGTGGTGTTGTGTGAGTGTGTGTTGATAGTCGTGTGTGACTGTTGATGGTGGTGTGTGTGTGTTGATAGTCGCGTGTGTGTTGATAGTGGAATGTTGTGTGTTGATAGTGGTGTGTGAGTGTTGATGGCGGTGTATGTGTGTTGATAGTCGAGTGCGTGTTGATTATGGTGTGGGTGTGTTGACAGTGGTGTGTGTGTGTTGATAGTGGTGTGTATGTTGATGTGGTGGTGGTGTTGATGTGTGTTGTGTGTTGAATAGTGGTGTGTTGATATGGGTGGTGTGTTGAAGTGGTGGTGTGTGTTGATAGTGGTGTGTGTGTTGATGGTGGTGGTGTGTGTTGATAGGGTGTGTGGTGTTGATGTGTGTGTGTGTGTTGATAGTGGTGTGTGTGTTGATAGTGTGTGTGTGTGTTGATAGTGGTGTGTGTGTTGATAGTGGTGTGTGTGTGTTGATAGTGGTGTGTAGTGTTGTTGTGGTGGTGTGTGTTGATAGTGGTGTGTGTGTGTTGAAGTGGTGTGTGTGTGTTGATAGTGGTGTGTGAGTGTTGATGGTGGTGGTGTGTGTTGATAGTGGTGTGTGGTGTGTTGATAGTTGGTGTGTGTGTGTGATAGTGGTGTGTTGTGTGTGTTGATAGTGGTGTGTATGTGTGGTTGAATGTGTGTGTGTGATGTGTTGATAGTGGTTGTGTGGTGTGTGTTGATAGTGGTGTGTGATGTTGATGGTGGTGTGTGTGTGTTGATGTAGTGGTGTGTGTGTGTGTGATAGTGGTGCTGTGATGTGTGTTTGATAGTGGTGTGTGATGTTGATGGTGGTGTGTGTTGATAGTGGTGTGTGATGTTGATGTGTGTGGTGTGTTGATAGTGGTGTATGATTATGATGGTGTGTGGTGTGTTGATAGTGTGTGACTGTGATGTGTGTGGTTGTGATAGTGTGTGTGACTGTTGATGGTGGTGTGTGTGTTGATAGTGTGTGTGACTGTTGATGTGGTGTGTGTGTGTGTGATAGTGGTGTTACTGTGATGGTGGGGTGTGTGTTGATAGTGGTGTGTGACTGTTGATGTGGTGTGTGTGTTGATAGTGGTGTGTGACTGTTGATGGTGGTGGTGTGTTGATAGTGGTGTGACTGTGATGTGGTGTGTGTGTTGATGTGTGTGTGATGTTGATGGTGGGTGTGTGTTGAAGTGGTGTTGATGGTGTTGGTGGTGGTGTGTGTGTTGATAGTGGTGTGTGACTGTTGATGGTGGTGTGTGTGTGTTGATAGTGGTGTGTGAGTGTTGTGATAGTGGTGTGTGTGTTGATGTGGGTGTGTGAATGTTGATGTGGATGTGTGTTGTGTTGATAGTGTGTGTGACTGTTGATGGTGGTGTGGTGTGTGTTGATAGTGGTGTGTGACTGTTGATGGTGGTGTGTGTGTGTTGATAGTGGTGTGTGACTGTTGATGGTGGTGTGGTGTGTTGATAGTGGTGTGTGACTGTTGATGGTGTGGTGTGTGTGTGTTGATAGTGGTGTGTGACTGTTGATGGTGGTGTGGGTGTGTTGATAGTGGTGTGTGACTGTTGATGGTGGTGTGTGTGTGTTGATAGTCGTGTGTGACTGTTGATGTGGTGGTGTGGTGTGTTGATAGTGGTGTGTGTAACTGTGTGGATGGTTGGTGTGTGTGTGTTGATAGTGGTGTGTGTGACTGTGGTGATGGTGTGTTGTTGGTGTGTTGATGAGTGTGTGTGTGTGACTGTTGATGGTGGTGTGTTGTGTGTTTGATAGTGGTGTGTACTGTGGTGGTGGTGTGTGTGTGTTGATAGTGTGTGTGTGAGTGTTGATGGTGGTTGTGTGTGTGTTTGATAGTGGTGTGTGACTGTTGAGTGGTGTGTGGGTAGTGTGTGTGGTGTGTGTGTTGATGGTGGGTGTGTGTTGATAGGTGTGTGTGGTGTTGAGGTGGTGTGTGTATGTGATGGTGTGTGTGATGTTGATGGTTGGTGTGTGTGTTGATAGTGGTGTGTGATGTTGATGGTGGTGTGTGTGTGTTGATAGTGGTGTGTGATGTTGATGGTGGTGATGTGTGTGTGTTTGATAGTGGTGTGTGTGATGTTGATGGTGGTGTGGTGTGTTGATAGTGGTGTGTGAGTGATGGTGTGTGGTGTGTAGTGGTGTGTGGTGTATAGTGGTTGTGTGTTGTGTTGATAGTGTGTGTGATGTTTGTGTGTGTGGTTGTGTTGATATGGTTGTGAGTGTGTGGTGTGTGTGTTGATAGTGTGTGTGTGTGTTGAGTGGTGTTGATGTGAGTGGTGTGTGAGTGTTGATGGGTGGTGTGTGTTGAATTGTTGAGTGATGGGTGTGTGTGTGATAGTCGGTGTTGTTGTGGTGTGTGTGTTGTGTGTGTTGTGTGATGTTGATTGTGTGTGTTGTGTGTTGAAGTGTGTGTGTTGATGGTGGTGTGTGTGTGTTGATAGTGGTGTGTGAGTGTTGATGTGTGTGTGTGTGTGTGTTGATAGTGGTGTGTGGTTGTTGATGTGGTTGTTGTGTGTTGATAGTGGTGTGTTGAATGTTGATGGTGGTGTGTGTGTGTTGATAGTGGTGTGTTGATGTTGATGTGGTGTGTGTGTGTTGAGTTGATAGTGGTGTGATAGTGTGTGGTGGTGTTGATGGTGTGTGGTGTGTTGATAGTGGTGTGTGAGTGTTGATAGTGGTGTGTGTTTGTGTGATAGTGGTGTGTGAGTGGTGTTGTTGAGTGGTGTGTGTGTGGTGTTGATAGGTGTGTGTGTGTTGATGGTGGTGTGTGTGTGTTGATAGGTGGTGTGTGATGTTGATAGGTGGTGTTGATGTGAGTGTTGTGTGGTGTTGATGGTGTTGTGGTGTGTTGATAGTGGTTTTGTGAGTGTTGATGTGGTGTGTGTGTGTTGATAGTGTGTTGTGTTGATGTGGTGTGTGTGTGTTGATAGTGGTGTGTGATGTTGATGGTGTGGTTGTGTGTTGATAGTGGTTTTGTGTGTGTTGATAGGGGGGGTGTTGTGTGGTGTGTTGATAGTGGTGTGTGAGTGTTGATGTGGTGTGTGTGTGTTGATAGTGGTGTGTGGTGTTGAAGTGGTGTGTGTTGGTTGAAGTGGTGTGTGTGTGTTGATGTGGTTGTATGATGTGTTGATGTGGTGTGCATGTTGATGGTGTGTGTGTAGTGTTGAGTAGTGTTGTGTGTATGTTGATGTGGTGTGTGTAGTGTTGATAGTGGTGTTGAAGTGTTGATGTGATAGTGGTGTTGATGTGGTGTGTGATGGTTGTGTGGTAGTGTTGATAGTGGTGTGTGAGTGTTGATATGGTGTGATGAGTGTTGTTGATAGTGGTGTGTGAGTGTTGATAGTGTTGTGATGTTTTTGATGTGGTGTTGTAGTGTTGATATGGTGTGTGGTGTGATGTGGTGTGTGGTGTGTTGATAGTGGTGTGTGAGTGTTGATAGTGGTTGTTGTGTGTTGTTGATAGTGGTGTGTGGTGTTGATAGGGTGTTGTGATAGTGTTGGAGTGGTGATGTGGTGTTGATGGTGGTTGTGTAGTGTGTTGATAGTGGTGTGTGTGTGTTAGTGGTGTGATGTGTGTTGTTATAGTGTGTGTGTGTTGATGTGGTGTGTCTGTGTGTTGATAGTGGTTGTGTGTGATGGTGGATGTGTGTTGATAGTGGGTGTGTGTGTTGATAGTGGTGTGTGAGTATTGTGGTGTGTGTGTGTGTTGATAGTGGTGCGTGAGTGTTGATAGTGGTGTTGTTGGGTTTATAGTGGTGTGTGAGTGTTGATAGTGGTGTGTGTGTGTTGATAGTGGTGTCTGTGTACGTCAGTGTTATGAGTGTTGATGGTGGTGCAGTGGATAGCTGGTGTGTGATGAGTGGTGCGGTGTGTTGATAGTGTTTGTTGATAGTGGTGTGTGATGATTGATAGTGGTTGTTGATAGTGGTGTGTGAGTGTTGATAGTGCCCTACTGCCACCCTCTGACTGCCACCCTCCCAGTGCCACCCTCCCACTGCCATCCTCCCCTGCCACCTCCCACTGCTACCCTCCCACTGCATCCTCCCACTGCCACCTCCCACTGCCACCCTCCCACTGCTTCCCTCCCACTGCCACCCTCCCACTGCCATCCTCCCACTGCCACCCTCTCCACTGCCACCCTCCCACTGCTACCCTCCCATGCCACCTCCATGCCACCCTCCCACTGCCACCCTCCCAGTGCCACCTCCCATGCCACCCTCCCACTGCACCCTCCCACTGCCATCCTCCCACTGCCACCTCCCACTCCCTACCCTCCCACTGCCATCCTCCCGCTGCCATCCTCCCACTGCCACCCTCCCAGTCCCACCCTCCCACTGCCACCCTCCCACTGCCACCTCCCACTGCTACCCTCCCACTGCCATCCTTCCACTGCCACCCTCCCACTGCACCCTCCCATGCCACCCTCCCAGTGCCACCCTCCCACTGCCACCCTCCCACTGCCATCCTCCCACTGCCACCCTCCCACTGCTACCCTCCCACTGCCATCCTCCCCTGCCATCCTCCCACTGCCACCTCCAGTCCCACCCTCCAGTGCACCCTCCCACTGCCACCCTCCCACTGCCACCCTCCCACTGCCACCCTCCCACTGCCATCCTCCCACTGCACCCTCCCACTGCCATCCTCCCACTGCCACCCTCCCACTGCTACCCTCCCACTGCCACCCTCCCACTGCCACCCTCCCACTGCCACCCTCCCACTGCCACCCTCCCACTGCCATCCTCCCACTGCCACCCTCCCACTGCCATCCTCCCACTGCCGCCCTCCTACTGCCATCCTCCCACCTACAGTATATACACTTAAATCTTCTTCAGTGGATGTCATCTGGAGTGACCCAACTTTCTGTAGTGAACCTTATCCAATATGGACATCCTGGGTGTGTACTCGTTCCTTTCTCCTAAAAATACTGGTTCTGTCTCTTATCTTCCTTCTTGTCTTCTCACTGTATTGCTTCTTCTTCTTCTTCTTCTTCTTCTTCTTCTTCTTCTTCTTCTTCTTCTTCTTCTTCTTCTCCTTCTTCTTTTTCTTCTTCTTTTTCTCCTTCTTCTTCTTCTTCTTCTTCTTCTTCTTCTTTTTCTTCTTCTTTTTTCTCCTTTTTCTTCTTCTTCTTCCCTTTTCTTCTTCTTCTTCTCTTTTCTTCTTCTTCTCTTCTTCTTCTTCCTTCTTCTTCTTCTTCTTCTTCTTCTCTTCTTCTTCTTCTTCTTCTTCTTTTCTTCTTCTTTTTCTCCTTCTTGTTCTTGTTCTGTTCTTGTTCTTGTTCTTGTTCTTGTTCTTGTTCTTGTTCTTCTTCTTCTTCTTCTCTTCTTCTTCATCTTCTTCTTCTCTTCTCCTTCTTCTTTTCTTCTTCTTTTTCTCCTTCTTCTTCTTCTTCTTCTTCTTCTCTCATTCTTCTTTTTTCTTCTTCTTTTTCTCTTTTTCTTCCTTCTTTCTTCTTTTCTTCTTCTTCTTCTTCTTCTTTTCTTTTCTTCTTCTTTTCTTCTTCTTCTTCTTCTTCTTCTTCTTCTTCTTCTTCTTTTTCTTCTTCTTTTCTCCTTCTTGTTCTTGTTCTTGTCTTGTTCTTCTTCTTCTTCTTCTTCTTCTTCTTTTCTTCTTCTTCTTCTTCTTCTTCTTCTCCTTCTTCTTTTTCTCTTCTTTTTCTCCTTCTTCTCTTCTTCTTCTTCTTCTTCTTCTTCTTCTTCTTTTTCTTCTTCTTTTTCTCCTTCTTGTTCTTGTTCTTGTTCTTGTTCTTGTTCTTGTTCTTGTTCTTCTTCTTCTTCTTCTTCTTCCTTCTCTTCTTCTTCTTCTCCTTGTCCTCCATTCTCCTCTCCTCCTCCTCCTCCTCCTCCTCCTCCTCCTCCTCCTCCTCTCTTCCTCCTCCTCCTCCTCCTCCTCCTCCTCCTCCTCCTCCTCCTCCTCCTCCTCCTCCTCCTCCTCCTCCTCCTCCTCCTCTACCTCTCCATGTTCCAAAATCTTAAAAATTCATCTGAACAAGAATCAACATTTCTTTTCTCTTTGATGACTCAAAAATTCCTTTATTCTAAGTAATGGCTGAAATCTGAATCAGCTGGATGTTTGTTTAAAACAAACAGTTGCTTAAGAAAGCAGCTGTGGATTCCTTGTTTTTTTGTTTTTAGTTAATAATGTCTTTCCCATTGGATTCAGCCAGTGAAATTCATATTGATTTTGTTAGGTTTGAAGCCTGTCAACTGCACGATGGTGGTTCAGGTTACACTCCTGGTGTCCACCACCAGTCAACAAGACTTCACTTCCTCATATTGGAAATAAAAATAATCTCTTAGTGTATATACTCTCAGAAAAATATACATCTAGATGTATATTCTGCATTCTGTCAATATTTATATTATTTAGCGGTTTTTTTAGTCTGACATATTATTTTTTATATCTCTTACTCTGTACGTTCATGAAATCAGACGATTTTGGTGAAGTACCTTTGAATTTCATCCTTAGAGTCCGGAAAAGATTTTTCAGTGAGGCCGACGCATTTAATTTCACTTCTGATATGTGATAAACACTAAATATTATTAAGTACCAGATGTTATGTAGATCAGTTTTTCATTGGTTTAATTAAACTCTCCATTTATATATATTATATTCTATAATGATTCTTTTTCATGTATGTTGTTACTTTTTAATCAGCATTGAGACTAGTAAGTAGATTGTGGCGACGGCCAGAAGTGTGTTAACACATGGCACTCGACTGGTCGTCCAGTGTGAGTCACCTTACTAATTGCAGATTATTGTTGCAGGTCTTGAAGACGCCACTAGTTCTCCCTCCCGCTATACCCCCACAGGTCGTCCCCAGTATCAAGAGCCCCAACAACAGCCCTTCCCCCAGCCCCGACAACAGTCCTTCCCCCCGCCACAATCCACACTTTCCCCGTCTTTCCAGAGTGGAGGTTTCGGCAACAACGCTTTCAATAGTTTTAGCTCGTCCTCATCATCTTCCTCTGAGAGTAGTAGTTCCAGCAGCTCCAGTGAAGCCAGTTACAGCAGCTTTAACGTGAAAAACGGTTTATTTGAACAGCCCTCCCCTACCCCTGCTGCCCTCTCTCGCTCCTACCCTGCCCCAAATTACCCCACCCCTTCTGCGACCACCTCCGACAATCTGTACAAGTCTGCGCAGGAGGCGTGGATGGCTCAGTACCTGCAGAACATCACCCAGCAACTCTACAGCTCCTTTTCCAACTCCTCAAACTCAAGCAACGACTACAGTTATGGTGCCGCAGTGGATAACAATTTCGTCAATTTCCCCTTCGTCTTGGTCCCCATCAACACCTTCTTGGACCTTCAGAAGTCTGGCGCAATCTCCGACGACGTGCAGAGTTACGGAGCCTTCGTGCAGCCGCAGCAAGCTCAGCAACAAATTTCTCAGTACTTGAAACAGCAGCAGCAACAGCAGCAAACTCAACAACAGTATCAAAAATATGAGCATAAACAGGAACAACAGTATCAGCAACAGCAGTATCAGCAAGAGGAGCAGAAATATCAACAGCAACAATATCAGCAACAAGACCAACAATATCAACAACCACAACAACAATATCACCAACCACAGCAACAATATCAACAGCCACAGCAACAATATCAACAACCACAGCAACAATATCAACCACAGCAACAATATCAACAGCCACAGCAACAATATCAACAGCCACAGCAACAATATCAACAGACACAACAACAATATCAGCAGCCACAGCAACAATATCAACAACCGCAGCAACAGTTTATCAACCTGTCAACAAAACATGCAGCCTCCAGCGCGTTCAACTCATCCAAAAGTTCTTCCCAACAAACTGCATTTAACATACAAGGCAACAACATAAATAAATACCAGAGCGGTGGTCAGGGACGTCAGGGAGGCCAGCTGGTCTCACAACAACTGTACCAGAGCCAACAGGCGTCCCAGTCTGCCCAAAAGAGCAGCAGCAGCAGCAGCGAATCCAGTTTCTCCTCCTTTGGTAATGTAGCGGGTTCAGCGCCTAGCTCTTCCTATAACTACATCCCCCCTGCAAGTCAGAATAGGGTTCCAACCATGAGCTATGGGCCATCACCCACTGTCGTTCAGCCTAGACCAACCCAACCCAGACCTACTCATTCTAGATATACACCACCTAGGCCTCAACCCACTCCTATCCCATCTAGTCCTCAACCAATTTCGTATAATCGACCACTGTCAAACGCAGGCGGTCAGTGGCCTACGCCTCCTATAACTCACAGTCGGCAGAGCAGTCGAACGCCGCCCAACAAAAAGAGTTTGCCTCTAGCAGCGCCAGCTACAACAATGGTGGAGCCTCACTCAACTTCCAATCCTCCTCGTCAAAGAGCGCTAATGAAGCAAAGAAGACTCACGCCTCATCCTCATCTAAATTCCTAGTAAACAGCGGAGGAGACAGAGGCTCAGCTCAGCATTTCGTATCAAGTTCTAAGGCCTCAGCATTAAAGGCCTCTTCAGCATCGTCCTCACAAAAATCTTTCAGCAGTTTCAGTGGCGCCAGTGGTTTTGGCTCTGGTGGTCTCAACTTCGCACAGGGAGGATACCCTCAGACTGCGTCGCCATCCACCGCCTCGGCCGCTTATCCATCTCCAACTCCCTCCTACGCTGTGGGTCCAGAGTCTGATTCTTTCCCGCCGCCCACAGCAGAACCCACCGCCAACATGGATGGTTGGATCCCGCTGAATAGCAACTATCAGCCAGTGTCTCCCCCAACTTCCCAGTACACATCTCAGCCGTCGTACCAAGGAAACAACCTCAGCAATTTGGGTAAGAACGCCGCCTTCTCATTCTCATCCAGTCAGAGCTCTAAGGAAGAGAGTAGTTCCCAGCAAAGCAATCAATTCAGCACAGCGTCCTTCAGTGGGTCAGCACCACAGCAGAGCTACAACTTCCCTGGCGGTGCTCAGTACTAAGCAAGTGCTGACAGCAAACAGTAGCAACAACACCAGCCGACTTGAACTGCTCACTACCCTTGAGCAACACGATGTTCATGATGTAACAGTTTAAGGGTTTTCATTCTTTTATGCACACCGGTTTTTGGACCATGAAATAAACTATTACAGAGATAATTAATATATTTTATCGATTTATATATGTATCACATATCAGTTATTTTTGCACATATAATTTGCAAATAATAAATATACTAGTTATATATATATATATATATATATATATATATATATATATATATAATATATATATATATATATATATATATATATATATATGTATGTATATATATATATATATATATATATATTATATATATATATATATATATATATATATATATATACATATATTTATATATATATATTATATATATATATATATATATATATATATATATATATATATATATATATATTATATATATATATATATATTTATAATCAAAATGTAGCTTTACAGTGTAAAAGTTATGGGGCCTAGATGAACGCTGGGGGTAACCAGCAGCAATCAAAAACACTAGGGATCCCCAGGTCTTTCTATGGATTGCTAAAACCTGGATCATCTTCAATCATAAGTACACACACACACACACACACACACACACACACACACACACACACACACACACACACACACACACAACACAACACAACACACACACACACACACACACACACACACACACACACACACACACACACACACACACACACACACACACACACAACACAACACAACACACCACACACACACACACACACACACACACACCACACACACACACACAACACACACAACACACACACACACACACACCACATCACTGCTCAATATAAAACTACTGGTGCACCGCTTGTATATACACACACTGCCTGAAAAATCATGTATTTAGTTGTCAGTCTTCAGATATTCAGTTCTGTTTGGAAATTGTGCATCTATAGTGCACTGTGTAGTGTTGCAGCTGCCACTACGGGTGTAGATAGTACTGTGTAGTGTTTCAGCTGTCACTGCGGGTGTAGATAGTACTGTATACTGTTGCAGCTGCCACTGCGGGTGTAGGTAGTACTGTGTAGTGTTGCAGCTGCCACTGCGGGTGTTGGTAGTATTGTGTAGTGTTACAGCTGCCACTGCGGGTGTAGGTAGAACTGTGTAGTGTTACAGCTGCCACTGCGGGTGTAGGTAGTACTGTGTAGTGTTACAGCTGCCACTGCGGGTGTAGGTAGTACTGTGTAGTGTGGGTGTTGGTAGTACTGTGTAGTGTTACAGCTGCCACTGCGGGTGTAGGTAGAACTGTGTAGTGTTGCAGCTGCCACTGCGGGTATATGTAGTACTGTGTAGTGTTGCAGCTGCCACTGCGGGTATATGTAGTACTGTGTAGTGTTACAGCTGCCACTGCGGGTGTAGGTAGTACTGTGTAGTGTGGGTGTTGGTAGTACTGTGTAGTGTTGCAGCTGCCACTGCGGGTTTGTGTCCTAGTCAACTTAACTGTTCAGTCGGAAGTTTCTCTTTCTTTTAGACACGAAGAAACGTGTAGCACTGTAAGGGAAAAAAGAAACCTGTTTATAAGTTCTTTAAGAGATTCAAAGTTAGAAATGTGAGAGTATAAACAATACGTTATAAAGACTGAACAAACAGGTTATCCATTACTGCAGTATTATTAGTTGGTATATCCTTTATCTTTATTATTATCGATTATATTATCAATTGTAAAAATATTTTTGTAAGTAAAGGCTTGTAATACACGATGGTCTGTGTTTCATTGTATCCTGGCAAGTTCCTGTACCCCTCTCAACTGGCCACAAAAATACTTAAATATGGAAGTTGACTTACATATTAAACTTGACTTAAACGATGAACTTGATTTAAATATGATGATGCGCCATTAAACTTTGTAATCCTTCTTCGACTGTATTTCCTTTTCATATATTTCAATATATTCCACAGTCCTAATACCAGTCTTCCTACCTAATCGTTATCAATCCTTTCGTCATCTAACGTCTTACATATCCAGTCCCATAATTACTCAACCGCAGGGAGGCTTAGTTCAAAATAAAAAATTTCCCTGTGATGTCCCATATTTTTAAAACTAAGTTACGTCACTGATGGAGTCATTGTATATAATGTCTCGCGAAGATTAAGATCCAGTTAATAAAATGTCGCACGTAAGAAGAGAAACTGATCATCTCTTTGTGACTAAGAGAGTGTTTATTCACCTCATCATTTAACACAATGTCGGTTTTCTCACATTTAGATTTTATTAGCGACACTTCCTTGTCCTTCACATCTATATGCTGGTCCACCACGTAGTGAATTAAACTGACCGACAGCACATAAATCCCTTTCATTCCTGACATACAGCACCTAAGGTGCTGTAAAATCCTGTGCTGTATTGTTGGAGCCACTGTAGATCTCCGACCAGCCGGACGTCACAGTTATTTCGGATGATCACAGGTTCTATCGATGTCAGTAGTTTACTTCGTCTCTCGTTGTTGCTGATTCTGATGATGCTAAAACAACTTTCCACGGCGGACAAGAGGCGGGCGGACTGGTACTCAGAGTCCATCAGAAAAGATGTTCTATCTAGAGATATCGAAAGGATTTGCATATATAAAATTGACAAATAAAGACACACGGATCTCATTAGCCATCCGAGTCTTCGTCTGTGTAAGATACACCAATGCTGAAAGTTTAACACCAATCTCAATAGTTGTTCTAATGTTATCAAACAGAAATCTTGAGGAAGAAAGAAAACTGAAAACTATACTTGGTAGACGGCTCTATAACTTCCTAACAAATAGAACACAAAGAGTAATGGTAAATAGAGTAAAGTCAGAGGCGGTTACAATGAAAAGCTCTGTTCCACAGGGCACAGTACTCGCCCCCAACCTGTTACTTATCTTCATATCTGACATAGACTGAGATATAAACCACAGCACCGTGTCTTCCTTCGCAGATGACACCTGAATCTGCATGACAGTGTCATCCATCGAGGACACTGAAAGACTCCAAGTAGACATCAACCAAATCTTTAAATGGGCCTCAGAAAACAATATGAAAATTCAATATAGAGAAATTTCAATTACGGCAATATGGAAAGCTCGAGGAAATTCCAATCACACAATAGAGCGAAAAACTAATGTGAAGGACTGGGAGTAATAATGTCAGAGGATCTCACTTTCTAAGATCACATCAATGTATCTAACACATCAGCTAGGAAAATGATAGGATGGATAATGAGAACTTTCAAAACTAGGGATGCCAAGCCAATGATGATTCTCTTCAAATTACCTCTCTCTACGCTGGAATATTGTTGTACACTAACTACCCACTTCAAGGCAGGAGAAATTGCAGACCTGGAGAATGTACAGAGAACTTTCACGGCATGCATAAGCACGAAAAAGCACCTAAATTACTGGGAACGGACGAAGTTCCTTGACTTGTATTCCCTGGAATGCAGGCTAAAAAGATACATAGAAAATACTAGAGGGATTAATCCCAAACTTGCACACGAAAATCACTCCCTACGAAAGCAAAAAACTCGGCAGGTGGTGCAACATTCCCCCACTGAAGAGCAGGCATGGACGAGTACGCTAAGAGACAACAAAAAAAGTGTCCGGGGCCCAAGACTGTTCAACTACCTCCCACCATACATAAGGGGGATTACTAATAGACCCCTGGCTGTCTTCAAGAAGATGCAGGACAGGCACCTAAAATCAGTACCTGATCAGCCAGGCTGTGGTTCGTACGTCGGTTTCGGTGCTGCCAGCAATAAAAGCCTGGTTGATCAGGCCCTGATCCACCATGGAATATACCTGGAGAGGGTTTCGGGGGCGTTGACCCAAGAAACACTTTCCAAGTATACACCAGGTAGACTCCAGGTAGACTCCAGGTATACTCCAGGAATACTTCAGGAATACTCCAGGTATACTCCAGGTACACTCCAAGTATACTCCGGGTATACTCCAGGTATACTTCAGGTATACTCCAGGTATACTCCAGGTATACTCCAGATATACTCCAGGTATACTCCAGGTATACTCCAGATATACTCCAGGTATACTCCAGGAATACTCCAAGTATACTTCAGGTATACTCCAGGTATACTCCAGGTATACTCCAAGTATACTCCAGGTATACTCCAGGTATACTCCAGGTATACTCCAAGTATACTCCAGGTATACTCCAGGTATCCTCCAGGTATACTCCAGGTATATTCCAGGTATACTCCAAGTATACTCCAGGTATACTCCAAGTATACTCCATGAATATTCCAGGTATACTCCAGGTATACTCCAGGTATACTCCAAGTATACTCCAGGTATACTCCAAGTATACTCCAGGTATACTCCAAGTATACTCCAGGTATACTCCAGGTATCCTCCAGGTATACTCCAGGTATATTCCAGGTATACTCCAAGTATACTC